AAGCCTAAAGACCTCTGAGAATTTCATATGTGTCCCTCCTCAAAATGTGAAAGGCCATCCTAAGGTCCAGCTGGAACCAAAATTCACAACACATTAGTTCTCAGCTCTCAGCCTGCAGATGTCAAATCGGTGTCAACAGAGGAGACTTGCCAGATGAATTGGGGGTCTCTGGCCTAGAGTCAATCAGCATTTGAGTGTGCCAGAATTGTAAAAAACGGAAAATAATCATGGTAGCAGCAGTTAATAAATCCAAAGACATGTGGCATTGGAGAAATATTCTGTCAAGGATCTCTCCAAAGTGCTGAAGAAGAATGATGTCAGTTTAAAGACTAAGGTGTACCTGATCCAAGCTACAATATTTTCCTTTTCTTCCTATGCAACTGAAAGTTGGACAATTAATAAGGATGACAGAAGAATCTATGTCTTTCAATTGTGGTATTGACAAAATGTGCTGAATATTCTATGGACTTCCCAAAAAACCCCAACAGATCAAGTATATCCTTAGAGGCAAGAATGGTGAAGCTTCACCCCTCATACCCTGGATATGTTGTAAGGAGAGGCCAATTACTGGGAAAGGTGAAAGGTCAGAGGAATAGATGAAGAACGTCAATGAAATGGATTGATAAAAGTTTATAACAATAGGCTTAAGAACGTGAGAGATTATGAAGATGGTATAGAATAGAGCAAGACTCCACTCTGTTGTTCATTACATAGTAGTTAACAGCACATAATAATAATAATGATATCCATTGTGGTGAGAATAAATTAATCATTGCAAATAGAAAATTGTTGACAGAATAGATAAATAAATTAATGCATACATTGAGTAGTAGATGACCCAGGTCTTCTCTAAATGGAACAAAAAATACCAGACAAAATTAATGAAATCATCACAGCATTAAGAATATTTTTGGTTCTCTTTTATGATGACTCTCCTCAAAATGATACAAATATATCATACCTCAGTATATTGTTCTCACTCATCTCAAACTCATTGATATTGAGGCAGAACTGACTCATAGCTGACCCTCCAATGGGTTTTTGGAGGTTGTAAATCACACAGCAGATCACCCGTCTTTCTCCCTTGAAACCCCCGATGGATTTGAATTCCCAGAAAGAAGCTACCTTCAGGTTAGCAGCACTCCCTGAAGACTATACTAAATTATAATCAATGGAAAGGTTTTCGTTTTCACAGGTTTTAAAATAATTTGTATACACACACACACACACACACTGGGAAGGATAAGCAATACCCTCCCGTGCAATTTACTGCCTCAGGAAACCCACTGTCACCTGTCAGTCAGTTCCAGCTTGATGACACACAACAATCTACACCTACATATATAGGAACTCTGGCGGCCTAAAGGTGGAGAAGTTGTGCTGCCAACACAAAGACAAGCTACGAATCCATCTACGAGCTTCTCAGGAGACAGATGGGCAGCCTCCTACTATACAGTTTATAACCTCTGACCCACTGGAGGATCAGCTTTAAGTTGGACTCCATAGCAGATAACAACAAAACATATACGCGTGTGTGTGTGTGTGTGTGTGTGTGTGTGTGTACGCGTGCGCATGGATTTCTGGTGGTACATAGATTGTTGTTGTTGTTGTTGTTGTTGTTGTTGTTGTCAAGTACCATAGAGTCAGAACCAACATATAGCTGATCCTCCACTGGTTTTTCAGAGGCAATTAATCCCAGGGGAGGTGATTGCCCATCCTTCTCCCAGGGAGCAGTGGGTCATCTGGAACCATGTACCTTTGGGATTGCAGTACAGCTTCTTGCCACTAGGCCACCAGAGGTAAAAGACCATAATTAGTACCTTCCTCTGGTAGCCTAGTGGTAAGAATCTATGCTGAAGGCACATATTGAATCTGCCAGCTGCTCTGCAGAATGGGCAGTCTCCTTCTATGCAATTAACTGCCTCTGAAGACTCATTGGAGGGTAAGCTATGGGTCAGTTCCAACTTGATGGTACACAACACACAAATCATTTTTCAACACAGACCTTTCTTTCACATCATGTAACAGTGAGACACTTTTGTAGGACTTCCTTACTCCTTTATTTGGCTTTTAAGTCAGAAATGACACTGATCTTTCTAAGTGCTTTATTAAAATGCACTTTCTCCTGTTGATAGATAAGTGTATATAAATTATCAATGCAAATTTATCATTATTGCTGAAATATTATTCAAAGAGCATGCCCTTGACATGTGTCTTAGTATCAATAATCTTTAAATGTGAAAAATGGCTCCTTTTTTTGACATCTTATTTTTTGGTGAAATAGATCTTTAATACACACTACTGAGTATTTTGGATGGCTTTCTTAAAACTAGTGGTTTCATTAATCTTAAGGAGTAGGGATAGAAATAGAATTTTATTTTCAAAACAAATATACAGAATATAGCAAATAATTTTCCATAAAACTCTTTCATCAAGATATTATTGCTATATTAGTGTAAGACATATGGAAAGCTATGGGTTAAAAAAGGAGGAATATAATATAATGTAATGAAGCTAGTATGGGTAAAAGCATAAAGTAAAAGAAAATTTACATTTCCCAAAGGAAATAAAAATACACAATAGTTTTTGGTTAGATTCTGTGTTCAGTGCATGCCTTTTGAGGGCTGAGCGCCCTTGTCATTGCGTTACCTTTTGTTCTCTAAAAGCTCTATCACTGTGAGAGAATCTGACAATGAATTCTTATTCATTTGCTTTTAGATTCAAAACTGGATGCATCATCTAAATAAAACCCATTCGAGCCTCATTCAGCTGTTCTCTATTGGGAAATCATATGAGGGAAGATCTCTCTTTGTTTTAAAGGTAAGAATAAGAAAAGATTATCTAAACTAAAAATATTTATCAACCATCCATCTTGTCAACTTTGGCTTATGAAAAAAATTCATTGCAATGGTCTTGCCAAGAGTTTCATATTTCACTTCATTTGACAGTTTAAGGAACTTTTACCCTCAAGTATATGAATTATGGATAGCGTTTGACTTTGAGTATCCCAGAGAACATTTAATAACATTTTCAGAGAAATTGTTGTCTAGTGAGTCAGAAGTGACGCATAGACTATCCTCCAGTGGGTTTTCAGAAGCAATTAATAGCATTGGAGGAGATTGCCCATCCTCCTTCTTCAGTGCAGCTGGTTTGAGCCTAGTGCTATTGGGATTGCAGCGCAACTTCTTTCTACTAGGTGACCAGTTGTCGTTACGTGCCTTTGAGTCCCTTGTGACTCATAGAGGCCCTATGAACAACAGCCCTAAACCCTGCTCTATCGTGCGCCAATCACACTGCCTCCGAGACACCCATCCCAGTTACTCCAGTCACTGAATCAATGTACCTCATAGAGAGCCTTCCCCTGCTGCGCTGTCCCTCAACCCTCCCAAGCATGATGTCCCTC